CTATTAAATGGTAGCTCATGTCCTCTATCTTGGTTTAATCTATCTATCTAATCTATTCTATTTCAAAATTCACGTAATTTTTTCAACGAATTATAGGTGTGAACACATAATGAAACAGACGGAGTGACTTTCTATTACTGATCAATTATCCTCTTAGATCTCAATTAAGGAATCAAACTTGCTTGTTCATGTCATCTAGCCAGATGTTCACTTTATTTTTCAAATTATTTTTCTAATAGTGTGAATAAAAAAATCCAATTAAACACACGATTGTGGGAAAAGGTTTGCAATCCCTTATACGTCAGATATATCCCTTTGTCTTTGCAGATAAGGTCCAAATTACAGCCTTTTCTGTTATCAGTTTTCTCCTAGGCTGTAATATCTTGGCTCCGTAGGAAATCATGTGAAATACTTAAGTGAAATCGAACATTGAACAATGCTTATGAATTTTTGCATCCAAGCGCGGGCTTTCACTGTTGTAATTTTTATCTTTTCACTTGCACCTACCTACACTCATTCAGTTGTCATACAAATGTTATTTTAATATCGCTTATTAGATAACAATTGAACTATTAGATGCGCATGCTTTTCCGATGAATTATCATGTGCCGTCGCGGCTGTATGTGGTTTTGTCTGAGAGCAATTTTAAAATTGAACTTTGAGGGAAACGTGTCTACTTACTGTGATAAGTGCAAAATATGTAAGTACCTTAGTATTTTACATTCTATTAGCTCGTATCTACACAGATTTATACGCAACAAGTTCCAGAAAAAGCTAACTACTGGTTTGCTTCGATAATTTCCTCCACACGCGTTTCTCATAACATAGGGCAGTAAGGAACCGCTATAAACTAATGAATTACTTAAATAAGACTTAATTAAGACTCTTCTGGTTTTAGTCTGAGAGCAATTTTAAAATTGAACTTTGAGAGAAAAGTGTTTACTTACTGTGATAGGTATGTGCAAAATATGTAAGTACCTAAGTATTTTTAATTCTATTAGCTCGTATCTACACAGATTTATGCAATAAGCATAAAGCAGCAAGGAACCGCTATAAACTAATGAATTACTTACTTAAATAAGAATTAAGTAAGACTATTCTGATTTATTGAATAATTTTGTAAGTAATAGCACTAATAGCTGCTCTCCCGTGGCTTATTCTAGTGTACAATGTTAGAAGTAAGCGCCATCTAGCGGTGTGCTTTTAAAATTGTCCTCCGTGCCCCTCTAGGTGTCACTGTGCTGACTTACCTCGCGCGAGCATTTGAATTTTTCGTCTTAATGACTTCGTGGATACATTTTCACATAATATGTACGGCTCTAGTCTCTACGTATCACTGCAACTGATAGGTAGTACTCGTTCGTAACTTATAACACGCTGTTGTTATAATTTTTGAAAGGGACCGCATTTAGATGCGGTCACCTAAAATTAAATACGACAATGCGAGGATCGTTTATTATGTTGATTAAGAATCTAAAATTATACTCTCATTGGGTCAACTGTATAAAGTAGTAAAGCTTAGGCTGGGTTGCACCATCTTACTTTAACTTTCAAACGTCAAAAATCTGTCAAACTCCATACAAAAACTTCGGTTATTTATTTATCTGTAATAGGTATCCTACAAACAGTTTAACAGTCTAGGCTTCATCGTAAAGAAATTATTGTCATAGTTAGTTACCTACAGTCAAAGTTAGGTGGTGCAACTCAGCCTGAATATTTTTAATGTGTATTGAGTATTATCACAGAATAATAATAAGTACTTCGTACAGAAGATTTTCTTCGCGAAGGTATTTAAAAAAATGTATGCTCAATGTCGTTAACAATATGGTGTAATTTAGCTTGTTTCAAGAGTCGAGCACCATTTTGTTGACAAACGTCAGTGATCGGTACTGCGCCGAAGACATAGGGCTGACTTCGGTAAAATGAAGTGTGACGTGAGGTGTCAAACTGCGAAAAATGGCGGAGGAAATACATGAATAAGCATGAATTATAATTTGTGTTTCTAATATTATTCAGGCAGTTAAAAAATACTGCACAGTATTAATTACACCACCGTTTTTACATATGGTTTATTGTCTTTACAATGCAAATGGGTGAAGAATACGTGCGTGCGTCAATACTCGCTCGTGATTGTCCTGTCGATTTGGTATCTCAGGAGGGGTAGTCGCGCGTGTTTTGTTTTCGATGCAAACTCGCGGAGATGAACAGGCCTGTGTGCCTACCATGAGTTTACGTTAGGTGTGCTCGCTAGCGACTGCGTAAAAAAATGACATTTAAATGTATGACATATTGTGCAGCGCCTCTAGCGGCTACTTTCAAGAAATAAAATCTTCATATAATTTTTTGACGTATTCGCTAGCGAGCTCACCTAACGTAAACTCATGGTAGGCACACTGGTATTATTTTATCTGTTTATCCCTTACGCCAGGGCGCATATTATCGCAGTATGATTCGGAGCGAAGTCTTTGCAAAATCACTGAAATATACTTGAATACTCGGCTCCACACATCGCGGTAGCGCGAATTTTCGGGTTATTGTGACGTATGTGGCCCAGGGGTTAAAAGTATTGATGTTTTGGCAGCTGTGGCGTTACACTCTCAAGTCACTTTGCCCTCGTGTCGATAGTAATATCGAAAATCGTTTCAAACATTTCGTGGATGATGAAAATTAGAATAAGTAAGGTACAAAAGCGGAATCTGTTTCAGTATTTACGAAATACCAACCTACTCCTACATAGAGTCTATAACACAATTGTTCATAGAAAGCGGATATTTAATTTATTTTTTCTTCACAAAATCAACGGTTTGGTTTTCATGATCATAATGACTATCCGACTTTTATTAAGCCATTAAGTTGTTGAACGTTGTGGATACAAATTTAACGATGACTGTAAATTGAAATCCAACTCCCATCTATAGGTAGGAATAATTTATTGCCAAACCGTAATATACTTACGAGTATTTATCTGGATTATTAGTGTACTTACAATCTCTAACGCATGTATGGTTGATTATTATCTGAGCTTATTTTTCTGGGGACCAAAATTGTCAGATTAAGATGGTATGTTATAAGCCTAGTTAAACGTTATACAGTGTCGTTTCGTTGTGTCTTTATAACTGCCTTAAAAACCTTTTAACCTGTAATAAGCTTTTCAGCGTGTCTTTATAACTGCCTTACTGCCGCGCCTTAGAATTAGATTTCAGAGCTTTCAGATTAACATTTTGCGTGTTATATGCGCTACAAAAGCACACTAGGAACTCTAGATAGCCTAGGATACCGAGCATTATGTTGTATAGAGGGATTACTAATGTTTGGCCAAAAAACGTTTCCCAAATTATCACATCGCAAACAACGTTTCGCAAATTTTCATTTGGCAAATTCTCATTTGGCAAAACAACTTATTGCAAACTTTTAATTCGCAAATGTCGTTTTCGGCATATTATTGTTTAGCAAATTATTGTTTGGCAAAGTATGTTTTGCCAAATGTTTCATTAGGCAAAAATATTTCACGATAAACTATTTACAAAACAATTTGATTGGTGCATAGAATGGAATACAAATTAGCTTGTGGTTATTATTTTGTTTAGTGGGTAGTTAATATATATTTTTTTCTAAATAAATTTTCATATTTCATTCTTTTTATCGAAATTTCCAAATGATTCATTAAAAATAGAGATGATTCTAGCGCTCGGCGGCCGCTGCCGCGGCACGCTTCGCTCGCCTTCGCGCATTAAGGGTCACTCTAACCTAACCTAACCTACTATTTTCTACAATACCTACTTTTTGCAACCATACTATTTTCTGCAATCTCTCTGTTTTACATAAAATTATTGTGAAAACCATGACCATGTGCCTTATGCTTTGATTTGTGGGTAACGGTGGGTACTCGTAAGTATGTGAAGTGTCAATTTGACCAAGCAAATTATTTGGGATATAATATTTGGCAAAATAAAACATTTGCTATATAAACATTTGCCAAGTAAAATTTGGCCAAATGTTAATTTGACCAAATGAATTAGTTGCGAAAAGTACAGTTGCTAAAAGTTTATTTGGGAAATGAAACTTTGGCGATAAGTTGTTTGCGAAGTGAAATTTGGCGAAAAGTAATTTGGCCAAACGGAAGGATACCTGTATAGAGGCATTTTACCGATTTTAAATTATTTGTTGAAAAAAGTTATAAGATCTTAGTTAGTACTGGTCCTAACTTGACAAACTCTATACCTTAGTCAAAATATGTGGCATGGTCGTTTCGCTATCGTCAACTTCGAGCGCCCCAGGGTGTCGCGGCGCACAGTTTGAGAAGCGCTAGACTAAACTAGTTTTAGGGTTCCGTAGCCAAATGGCTATATTGTTTTATATTATTGTAGTGTAATATGGGTGTAGTTACACATGAGACAACCTCACTTATGTTCTAGTCAAGTATTATCGAAAATCGGCAAATCACAGTCAGGATCGCTTTCGGTATTTACGACATAGAATACCTCCTACCTTGTGTAAATTATAGAGATTGTATGTGTAATTTTAGATTATGTTGAATATAACATTTACTACCGGAAATCTTAACATAGCTACGAGTAATAGGTAACAATAGTTCTTGGAATGCGGACATTATTTTGTTTTTTATTCACAAAACAATTTTGTTGTTAAATAATTCTTTTAATAACTATTTTGTTACTATGCCTTAACGTACTAATGAATACGTGCTTTATTCGTATGAACCTCATAGACAAAAATTAAACGATGACTGAATTATAAAATGCAACCATTTTATTTTTTATGTTTTGACGGGGATTGAGTTCTTCAGCGCTTATCGCAATTTTGGTCCATATGCAACCGACGCGCGTTTTATTATAATACTAATTCACTTTTACTGCAAAATTACATTACATTAGACTATAGTATTTTATTGCACAGTTAAGTATTGCTATTAAGTACCACTGAATTACACCTGTCTTTCCCGTAGACTCTATTATAAATAAAAATGTGCTGTTCTTTCACAGGTGTCGTCAGCAATGCGCGAGCCCGAGGCGAGCGGCGCAGGCGGCGCGGGCTAGCATGGCCGCCGCGCTGCTGCTGCTGTGGGTCACCGCCGCGGCGGGCGCGCGCCTCGGCGAGCTGGCGCGTCGCGATACCGGCGACGTGTTCACGATCACTGGTGAGCGAATGTTATTGTTTTAACGCAGTCATCTAACGCTGCGCTACTATAGTTGCGTGCGGGTGAAGTTAGTAGAATCGCTGCTGAAATGATATTATTTTCGTACTCTAACTCTTTGTAACAACGCTAGGTACTGTTGCTCTGTGTGAAACGTTTCTTCTCGTCACTGCTTTCCTCCTGCTAGGGGCGATATGGCGTTATGCAATCGCGTAAAACAAATTAAAACAACAATACATTAGCGTGCTCATCTCTTTTGCCACTGGCGCGCGTCATGTGCTTGAAGATTCTCGACTTCGATTTCTAGAATCCTAGAAATTAAGTAAGAATCACCTACCTTTAGTTTTTAGCATATTATTCTGAGCCTTCGTCTCTAACTCTTGGATTTCCACTACGTTCCTTCAACATCAACATTGTTTTCAGGCGAAGAGTGCAGCCCGGCGCAATGTGCAGAACACGGCGCCGGCATGGGCAGCGCCAGCGCGGGCGCGGGCGAGTGCGCGTGCGTCTGTCCGCAGCGCGCGCCGCTCTTCAGGGAGGACAGGGAGCTGTGCGTCGACGACCTGCCCGGTAATACTATTATTTATTAAGTCTTAATATTTTCGATGCCCACAACTCTCCATGTTTTTAGCCACACACCCCAAAAAAATAGGTAGGAATAAGCTTTTAATAATCATTTTTCTTCGGGGCCTCCTGTTTTACAAAAAAAAGGTCGAAACGAAGTTTTCGGAAACATACGTACCTACCTATAGGACTCAGCCGAATTCTGCATAGTCGTTTATACTTACTACGGCGATAGAAACAACCTTCTTCTACAATAGCGAACGTGAGGCGTCATGATGCATGCATCTTTTACATAAATCTCTGATAGAAATATTTTCTAGATCGTGTTAAAAAGTGAGAAAAATTGATCTTATTTATTGTCTACTAGACAATAATAACATGGAATGCGCTTTGCAGACTTGAAAGCACAAGCACAAGTAACAGTTACCAACAATTTTGCAACATCACTGCTAGATATCCATCACAACATTCGCCACTTGTGCTGCGATTTCCTTGTTCATACAAAACAAAGAAAGTACAAACGAACATTTCACACTTTTACTGTTTACGAAAAAGTTACAAGAAAGATAAAATTCGATGACTGCCCGGTGGTCCAGTGGCTGATGTATGGAATACAACGTAACTGGTTAGGTATTAGAGTCTCGTAGAGTCAAATGTTGCGTACTTGCGTATGTAGGTACAAGCATTTATACACTTCAATAAAATGACGTTTCTGTTAATGTAATTGTACTAAAGTACCTATTTATTATCGTTACACTACACATACTTTATTTCGTTAAAGATCTAAGTTATTGCGTTAGTTTGGGACTAGAAATCGGAGTGAAAGTTGGCACTATTTATTTATTTATTACATTATCAGCAGTTTTTGCTCGATCTTACAGGTTTAAGTAAATTAATATCAAGTTGTCATCACCTTTACACTAATCATCACACACACGCTATTCATCCTCCATCCATTAACACAAAAAATATCGCAAACTCATCATGCTTATTGAATGAACATTAACTCTATCATATATCACACTTGTATTCCATTCTATCGTTTTTCTTGCCGTTTTTACAATGCAATCACATTTTATTAGTCATTAAAAATAGTTAGATACTGCTGACTTAGCAAAACTAGTGAAAAAACTATTAGAGTAATGTACCTGCCATTCAGTCCCAAAACTGTTATAATAATTTATTAGCTTAATAGTATTTAAATCATAATAAATTAAACAAATCTGTCATGTCCCGCTGAATATTATGCTACCAAAGTGCTAAAATCCGCAAGTACTTTGATATCTATGAATGAATAATGATTGATTGATAGGTATTTAAGAGGTTTAACCACTGCATTATCTATACTAATATTATAAATGCGAAAGTAACTCTGTCTGTCTTGCTTTCACGCCTAAACCACTGAACCGATTTTGATGAAATTTGGCATAGAGATAGTTTGAGTTCACGGGAAAGGAAATAGGATAGTTTTTATCCCGGTTTTTGAAACAGGGACGCGCGCGATAATGTTTTTGCAGAAAGCTAGTAGTTAATATAAAACTCGCTAACATCTTTCGTAGTTCATTGTTTAAGTCCTTGCTTGTTCTAATATTGATGGTAACAAAACAAATAATTACATTCATACTTCCATTATGATAGGTTACAAAGTGGAGGGCAATGTAGGACCCCCTAGAGATCCTAAACTTAATGCCTTGTTGATTCAAATCCTTGCAAGCCCACCCACTCATTGATGTAAGCATTGTAAGCTTGTCCTTATAATGTAACCCAATATTAAATAACTCTAGGCTCTACAATCCTTTGTATGATCGTTTAAAGTTGATTGTAGGTATAACTAACACCTACTTACTTTTTGGCAAGAGTTTTGTTAAAAGTTTACCAAAACCTAGCATTCATCTATCTATATGATATCAAATCAAACTACTATTTATAAAAGTAAGGAGGTGAGTTAAAGCTCATGCACCTTTTAATAAATAACATTATACATAATTATTATCCTACATAATTTCTTTAAACTTGCAAAAATGACAATAATTTTGGACTGACCGCTAACTTAATCGTATTACTTACCTATATCAGCATTCGAAACGTTCGATATCACGCAAATAACATGGATTTACAAAATAAACTTACTTCACACGATAATTTTCAAGATCAGATGAGCACAAACGAGGTTTTAGTCTTAATTCCTATAAAAATGAGACGGTATCAAATTGGGATTTGGGTCGCGAAGATCCGATGAGCGATCGGGAGGTCGATTAAATATCGATTTGCGATTAATATTAATCTAAGATTAACAGCCATTGCTCTAGCCATCAAAATTATATTATCTACTAGCTTTCCGCCCGCGGCTTCGCCCGCATGGAGTTTTGTCTGTCACAAAAAAACTTTATTCGCGCGCGTCCCTGTTTCAAAAACCGGGATAAAAACTATCCTATGTCCTTTCCCAGGACCCAAACTATCTCTATGCCAATGTTTAGTGGTTTAGACGTGAAAGCAAGACAGACAGACAGACAGACAGAGTTACTTTCGCATTTATAATATTAAGTATAGATAGTATGGATGACTTAGGTAGGTATAAACTAAGTATTAATTAAGCACATCGCCAATGCATTGAATTTTAGTAATAAATTAGTTTATTTAAAGGTTAAAGATAAAATTAATTAAAATTATTATTTGAGAATCTGTACAAAGAGTGTAATTAACTGAACAACACGATACAATGCAGAAAATTGGACTTCAGAAATAATAACTTCTATTTTTAACACAATGTTGTTGTCTAGACTAGTTTTTGTGAGAACCAATTGATTAACATTCTACCTTTATTTATTAACATGGTAGATTTCTATAGGTCTAGTGCTGAAATAGTGCCTGCCTATGGGAGCGGTATGGGAGGGTGTTTTTGTAACGTCAAACGTCAGCGAGACGTCAGATCATATGCATGCTCTGTCACGTCACAAATTTCGATGGCACCTCTCCAGTGCCGCTATCATATCTGAGGCACTGGTTCTGTTATGCTCTACTAGACCAATAGTAAAGCAACAACATATCGAGCTAAGGCTCATAATTATAACTCGCCTCGGTAAATGAAGCGATTCTATTGGTTCTTTACAAACACATCCACTACGCTTCCTCGAGGAAACGCAAGCTTATTCCACTATTCCCCATTGACAATCCCCGTCAACGGGGATGCCTAATGCCACGCTAATGCCGTCGCATCTTATACGGTAGTGATAAATGCAATTTCGTAACTAAAAAATATTGGCTAATAAGTAAGCATTACTTGTCGAAGGTTGCCCAGAGTCAGGAGCCTTATAAAGTCCCAGAAGGACTTACGGCCGCATCGAATTTGACAAATATTTGTATTAAGCCTTTTGGAAATCCCGCCACGACATGTTTACGTTTATTGAAATCGCTTGTTTACAATCGCGTGCCGTCACATGGTATTACTGTAAAATTATAATGCATGTGGAGGCAGCGCTACATGGTAAATGAGAGAGACCGACCGGGGTATTTAAAGACAATTAGGTAGCACTTGCTGGCAATCAATAGTTTACATTTTTCATTGTATCGTTAGAGACATTAGCGAGCTTTTGCGAGCTCTACATAGAGACATTTATGTCATTCTATCTAACGTTTGTTACCTAGTACCTACAATACCAAGTAGACGACCCTTTTTCGTATTATCCCCTTGTTCCCAATTAGCAAACATTAAGAAAAAATAGGGATAACGCTACAAGGAATTACACTACGGGTATCTTTTTCGTAAGATGGAAAATATAATTATTTCACGACTACTTACGCTAAAATCTCTGCTTTAACCTTTAACTGCAACCCTCGCTGTAATAGTTCAATCGCCCATTGAACGAGTTGATTCCATACGCCTACAAATGCAATGCAGCTTATAAATTAATTAATAACGAATACTGAAAACCGGACAAGTTTCTTAAAGCCGCTTTTAATTTTTGCACTAACTGTTATCGGTCATTAACATTTCGGGATTAAAAATCTTTAAATGCATTTAAGAAATTAAAGACACAGTCAATTATGATATTGGAATAAGTGTTTTAATTAGTGAAATAAATAAATGCATTATTGTGCTAAGTGCACAGTATTCAAACAAGAATATATTTTGTAAGGGCAAACTGGTTCATTTGTAAGAATAAGGTTAAGTAGGAAATGTGTTCTTATCCAAAGTAATGTTTAACGACGATTTGCATCGGAATTAAAGAAAATATGTTTTTGATTTTAGCATAAATAATTTAGCCGGTTTTAAAAAAATGCAACTAAAGCCTTTGTTTCCGTTGAGTCACACCATTTTATGTAACACTACCTACTGTTACCCATTGGTAAAAAAATAGCGATTAGTAGCTAACACTGTTACTCAATGCCACATTTTTTTTCACTTTGCGTAAGTGTTTCTCAACAAATGCACTGTGTTCAAGTCTGTGTTCGACTTAGGTGACATTTCATCCGAAAAAATCTCATCCGCGAATGAGTTGTTTCAAATGTTAGGTGTCGAATCATCCACAAAATGATCAAAATCTTCGCATGAAACGTTACCGTTTCTAACTTGGAAGTGTCGTCTCATCCGAAAATATTAATTAAATTAGCTAAATTAGATCAATCTTCCAAGTTAGAAACCGTGACGTTTCATCCCAAGATAAATATTTTGCGGATGATTCGACACCTAACAAACTTGAAAGGGAGACAACTAATCCGCGGTACAGATCTTTTCGAATGAAACGTCACCTAAGTCCTGTGTTCCCGTAATGTAACACATTCTTGTGTAAAATCATTCGTAGGTTTTAATTTTTTTAATTTGAAACTTCGTTACACTTTTAAACGGGTACAAAATTAATGCCTATCCTGACAATCAACCTTTGTTTGTAACTGCACACGCTTTAAGGTCGAATTAAGTTAATTTTTAACTATTTATTTTGTTTTTTAATTGCAGAATGTTCCCTGGCTACGTTCGGGACAGGCTCCGGGCTGCAGCGGATACCGTTCGTGTATCTGCCGTTGAAAGGCCAGATCATACACCCGTCTAAGGAGATTACCTTTCAAAGTAAGCTGCCACTTTCCAGATCCACTATAAGAAGCGCATCACAGAACACACATGCTACTTATCATTAACGTCAAAAATGTGTCAAACTCCATACAAAAAGCACCGGTTAAGAGCGTTTACGCCGTTTGGCGCAAAAACAGTNTCGCTGACTATACTTTTTCGTCGTGCGTTATATGGTTCTATATGGGGCTCGAGTATGGCACAGTGCTGTGTAGTTCTACTGTTCAAAAAAGCGCAACGCATGATATCACTGAGGCACAGGCTGAGGTAATTTGTGGATACCGCATAGTATCCGCAGTCCGTCTATTCCCGGTTGTGGACACTGACTATGTCCCTACTGAGGATATTGGGAAAAAAAATATTGTCATTAGTGGCGACGTATAACAATCCTACTAATATTATAAATGCGAAAGTTTGGATGTCTGGATGTTTAGTACTCTTTCACTTAAAAACTACTGAACGGATTTTGTTGAAACTTTACAGTATTATTGTTTATAAACCAGATTAACATAATTATAGGCTATAATTTATGACAATATGTGACAAATAAATTTCAATAAATAAATAAGACGTGTCTAAAAAGCGCACAAACTACCTACTGTTTTTGACGTTCGTAAATATTCATGCGGGGGAAGCCGTGAAACGCCATCTATCAACATGATATCAAACAACAGATTTTACGAACTAAGGAGTAAAACGAGGCCCACGCGTACGAAGTCGCGGGCGGCCGCTAGTTCAAAATAAAATTAATAATATTTTTATTCATCTGGTCTTACTTGACTTTTACTTTACGTATGTCATGCACGATGACATTTGCGTCAATATTTGTGTACGTCCCCACTAGGCATAATTGGGATGCATTTTTCTAATTTGTCATAACTTGTGAGTAAGCCTGTAGCTACAACTGGGAAAGTATGTGTCGCCACTGGTGACAATCGATATTATTTATGCCATTTATCCTCAATGACGACAAAGCTAGTGTCGACAAACGAGAATAGACGCCAGTTGCGAGGTGACCATAGGTCCCAAGGGGAAATGTACGTGTACGTGCACCACGAGAGGTGGAAACCAAAAGGTAGAGGCTTGAGGATCTAGGCCCTAGAGTGCTGAAGGGTACGCCTGGCCGTCAGCCAAATTTTACGTCGCACCATAGAGGCAGTTCTGCCTGTATTAGAGGAGTGGGTGCGACGGCATGATCGCCTCACACAAAGGGCGACCCAGGTTCTACCGGGCCATGGGTGCTTCGGGCCATTCCTCCACCGTATAGGCCGAGAGCCTGTAGATGGTTGTCAGTTAACACTGCAGTCTTGGCACGTGAGTCACCGCAGCAGACTGACACGCTCCAACAGTGCCCAGCCTAAGCGAACGAGCGGCGGTTGGAAATGACCTCTCCCTACCAATCGGGAAGAGGCGTGAGATAGATAGATAAACTGTTTATTTGTTGTAACACACTTTTTTTAATGCTTTTAACACACACATTATGTATAGTTGCTATTGAAATTCAATTCAATATCGAAATAAAGTTAGTTAGTCAAGAAACACACTAGGTGACACCACTGGTATTTTGTTACACAGGTTAGTAATAATTTCAACAGTTGCAACATAACAAAAGTGACAAAACAACATAAGATAAAGATGACTAGCGTTTCAAATAGTTCCCTGCGTCAGAGTGATGTGTGCCGCAGCGATGCAAAAAGCAAAGAGCTCAGTATAAACACTACCCTCAAAAGGGCAGAACACTGATTTTCAGCTTTTGCTAGAGAACGCATGAAGCGTACAGGTACGGAATGAACCCGCTCGCTTTCGGAAACAATATCTACATTAGTATAAAATATATGATGAGACAAATAATCTTATGGTATAGTGTGCTTACTTTCTGTGAAAGTGTTCTTTCACAGAAAGAAGCAGTGGAAAGGGGGAGCGAGAGGCCTCAGCCGACACTCCGGTTATCCGCCGCCGACACCCTGGGCGCAAGAGGACAGCTTATGGTCTCCAACTGTCCCTTCCTAACAGGCCTCGGTCGCTAGACATGGAGGTGTCTGGTGGCGGCTAAGGACGAATGCTACAGGCAACAGCCAATGGCGATGTCCCGCGTTCCCTCATATCACTCATATGGATCATGGCAGAAACAGTCAGGTTTTTAGTGGGTGTAGGGGCTACCCACCTTCTGGTAGGAAGAACCCCACATAACCCACTAGCTGCCCCCGCAGCTGGTGGGTATGAAATGTTATGCATTTTCCGGATAAAAAAAGAATAGTAAACAGGAAAAGTTTGTTTTGAATAGAACCGATTTGAAAAAATCTCTCACCATTAAAATTCAATTTTTTTTCTGCTGAACATAGGCTGTATAAAATATTCTCAAAATAGTAAAAAACCTTTGATAATTATATTATTAAATTAAGGCGGTGTAATAATAATATTTATTACACCGCCTTAATTTCTCTACTCGACCTGTGGTTGACTGGCAGATAATGCCACCTGGCATTAAGTCCGCCACTGTACATATGTATGTGCAAAAGTGTAAATAAATAAATAAAATAAATAAATAATTTACTATTTGATAAAGAATTTACGTATTTATTATTGATTAGGACTAATGTATACCATCATTTATAATTATGGAGTCGGTGTTGGAAGATTTGAAGATTTTATAGTTTCCTTGAGCTGTCACTTGACAGCCTGGCACACTTTTACGATGGTGGATCAAAGTATTTTGGTTTGACTATAGAGCGTGAGAACACGCACACAGTCATAATTATTTTAGTGTGAATAAAAATAGCATCGAAATTACCTAAACTTGACATGCCACGCTAGACGTAAACGCTCTTAACGTTTTAGTTGGGTAATGCAACTCAGTCTTAGCATCTCTGATCGGCGCTATAGCTACAGTAGGTAATATAGCCGCTTTTTAGAAACTGAATGCAGCGACCACACATTCCACCGCACACGTCATAATAGAGCCAAACGCTGTGATTGAGTAGCTTTTCAGAAGCTCGACGCAGCGGCTAAAACGCGCGATTCCGATTTCTTCTGAACGCATGAAGTCGCAAAATCAGTAAAGTAGCATGTCTGATGTGGCCCTAATGGGCACGCCCACACCCTTATTAGACTTGTGACGTTATACTTTCACGTTCTATTGAGATAATTCCAACCGTACTTACTTGCTAAGTCGATACTTGGATGGGATGTGACCACAACCTTTTTGAGGACTGGATCCGCGCCTGTTCCAGTCAATCCTCGCTTTACCATAATATTGAATCTTGGTCGATTCAAAATAGATATCCGCAACAAATGTGACTTTCGTCTTCTTTGCAACTCGTATTTTCTATCACTCTTGCATTGAATTTGCATAAACCTATGCAAAAAATGTTTTTCTGTAAATAAAAATAAGATGCTTTGTTTGAGACTAGCGTCCACTCTTCAAGGCTCCCTTAATCAGTTTTTCTATGAAACTTTTATAAAATAGGTAAATTGTTTTTTACAGATGTGAAAACGCCAATATGTGCCGTGTCTGGCGCTCAGTTCCTCACCCGCAAGGGTTTCCTCGACCTACGGAACACCTTGGACGCGGACGTGCCATTTAACCTGTTCAGGGATGAAGGCAGGACGTTTCTTCAGGTGAGATCATTGGCAATACTTCAACCGGTTATCTGGTTGTTTGCAGGCCCACAAACAATAGTGATTTCAATTTAGTAAATCTCAAATTAAAAATAGTTATTCTAAACAGCCACGTGTTAACCGTGTGGTTCCGTTCCAGTATATTAAAGAGGGTCGCCCTCCTCCAGTAGATTAAGTCCTGATGATGATGAAGATAGTGACAATATGACCCGAACCGAATACAGCGTATTGTTGTCACAACAAATTTGTTGAGTAATCAAACTCCTCCAGAGTGAAGTAGAAGCAACCCACTTTTCGTGGCAAAGACGACAAAATATGCGATCGCCAGTTAGTCACGACGCAGGATACTTGGTCTCTCCATTTTGGTACCTATAGCCATCTACAAAGAAATTATTTTCCCAATTCCAGTGGAGCGGAGAAGACGACGTGCGCACGCGCATGTCAGGCCGAGTGATGGTGGTGCGGCTGCTGTGTCGAGACGTGGCGGCGGCACCCGCGTCTCCCCTGGACCTACGAGGCGTGTTCACACCCTGTGTGGCCTTTAGGGTCCAGGGCACACCGCCTAGACACTCTTCCAGTAAGTTTTTCAGTGATTTGACGCGTGTACTTAATTTAAGAATAATGTGTTAGATTAGTAGTAGGATTCAACTAATAGATGAGAAAGACTCTACAGCTGAAAATTGGAACATAGCCGCATCTAGTCACTGGCTCTCATCATGATGTCCATAATTGCATTGGCATGGTGGTTGTTTTGTCTTATGCTGAATGTGATCTTATTTTTTTTTTGTGCAGAATAAAGCAGGACACCAATACCTACATCGATACTGTTATATCATACTCTAGATTTGATTAAAATGTAAACTATCTGTTGTTCCAGATGTAACAGAAGTGCAGTTCACTCCTGACGCGCAGACTTCAGAAGCATCCAACTCCTCTGGTCTCTCCGTGACAGAATACGTTGCGATCGGCATTAGCTCACTGCTACTGGGACTCATATACGTTGCGTCAGTTTTTCTATACCTCCACATACGAAAACGACGACGAGCAGCTTCAGAAGAAGGCAGCACGAAAAGACTCAAAGGTCTGATGAAGAAAGATGGATCGATCATCACAGAAAGAGATATAATAAGAGTCAACAATGAACGTGCCCAAGCATTGGCTAATAGTATGGGACAAGACGATGGGATCGTCAAGAAAAATCCATTGATGGGTTTGAGCAGGCAGTTCCATGACGCCAAAAGTTTCCCAAGTGACTCTGGAAGCAATGTTTCGGATTCTGAAGATTTTGCTGAGAGCAGTGCAAGAAGCGATGACCATAACTTGTACAATGTACGTAACGTTTTCTGATAGTAATACGATACAATCAACTTTAGAAACTAAAGCGTAAGGCCTACAGTACCGTAACTATATCATCTCAGCTACTGACTTTATTGTGCTTTAACATTTCAGAATCAAGTAACATCAGCAGTCGTTCATCTTTATCACGCCGAAATTAGGCGTCAGAATGATGGAGAAGTAAATCACCGCGATGAGTCCAGCATCGAACGTTTGCCCGATGAGCATGTCTCCATAGTGGAGACCACAGACGACCGGGAGATCGCCAGACCAGTCGGCACCACCAGACGCAAGTTGTACTTCAATCCAGCTTACTTTGAGCCACAGCTAATGGCGGTAGGTACGCATATTGTATACTAACAATCGCATGACTATCTTTCCGTTTACTAATCTAAACTCTACACTGAACGCACTTTCTAACTACTGTGGCACGTCTAATTAATCATTCTTAGATAATTAAAGTAATTATCTTGTTTGCAGGAACCCCCGCCGGCCGCTTTAGAATTTCTAGTAAAAATCAGAGAAGTGATTTCGATTGCGAAACACAAGATGGCAGCGAAACGATTCCAACCAGTCCTGAATGAAATACCTGAAGAGGAGACATATCCTTCATCCAACGGTAATAGCTTGGACCTTTACCAAGGTCTTGGAAGCCAAAGAAGTGGTAGTGTTGTAAGTCTTAAGAGAGAAAATAGCAGGAAGAAGAGCTGTGTTGGATGTCCAGGTTGCAAATCTAATAGTGAACATGATATCCAGAATTTCTTAAAGTACGAAATGACAGCATGTTCAAATTGCCTCCATAAGAGAGGCGATAAACAGAACAGTATTCGTCAATGGTTAGAGAATATACCGAGCGGGAAGCAACAGTCAGGGTACAACGACCTGACTACGAATCAAAATAATTTAGCCAACTCCCTTCTTTCACTACCTGATCACAGAAATAAAATACGAAAACAAAACAGTTTTACAGCATCAAACTCTTTATACATGCGAGATTTTTCCATCCCAAAAAAAACTACAACTTTATCAGTAAGGTCTGAACCACAGCTTCGAAGTTACAACTTTCCATTACCTGAATTCGAGAATGTTAATTGTGAACATAGTAACTATAGTAGCTACTGCCAAACTGTATCAAGGGTAGATGATATCAGGCCAATAGGCCTTAACGACTATCGAGCAGGCAGTCTTCGTAATCATCCAAATCATAGAAGATATCGACCCATGCCAAATAACAATTCTTTACCTGATATGGTGAATGATGCTATGGCTTTGGACCATTCAAAGAATTACACCCAAAGTAGTTCGGATGAAGAGAGAATTCAACATACGGCAATAATTCCAAAACAAAATAATTATGCTAGAAACATTTCCGAAAGTCCTTCTGGAAATGAGTACGAAACTGATAGCTTGGAAAGGAATTCTAATCAAAAGAGAATGACGACACCTATCGAGTATTCTGACGTGCCTTCGTCTCAAGCCAGTCCAAGTTTAAGCAATGCTTTACCTTTGGACGAAGAACTGACTATGAGGAATGCCGTGTATAAAACTCACTCTAGCAGCAACAGCAATACTCCATCGCCACAACGTGAAATTCATATAGATCAAAACCATTATGAAACAATAGGGAGGCCGGTCAATTCTAAGACAAAGCCTACTATGGCGAATCAGAAGAATGATTACAGCTTAGTGAGCGAAGTCTACGTCAATAACAATTACAACTTTGGCAGTACACCAACTTCTCCAAGTGGTTCTGAATGCTCTATGGGAAGTCGTAAATTAACGAGAAACAGTTTCAATGATGCTGAAGAAAAGCCAGGTTGTTTAACAATTGAGGTTAAAGATCCACCAGAAAACTACATTAAAATACACGAATCAGATGGCTTCGAACCAGACACTTTAGATAGAAAACATCCTAAGCACAAAGAAATATTAGAAAACGTTAAATTCAGTAGAATGGACTTCGCAAACAATTTAAGCAATGAAGTGAAGCCGCCCAGCCAAAGAATTCAACTCCGAAGTAGCGGAACATTTTCAAAAACCAACAATAAAGTTGAATATGCATCCAAATTTAACAGTCTGCGAAATGATTATGAGATTCGTAAGAATACATACGAGCGACCGAAAATATCTCCAACGACATTCAATGAAAGTAAAGGTAGCGATGTGATTGATATCACATGGGAGAACGAAACAGAAACGGAATTGTGGACTACAGAAGAAGGAAGGATTCTAACATTAGAGCTCAGGCATTCTAAAAGACAACGGCAAAGTACACCGCCGACGATCAAGCAGTTAAAAAATTTAGCGCGACCTGATATCCTCCCACCTTTACCGCCCACCGAAGATGGCCCAATATACGAACAGCCTATCGTACCACCTCGGAAAGTAGAAAACGACAGAATAACACATACAAAAAACTTGAGTGGCAGAAGCCTCAGTCCGAGGACGTTTCACAAATCTATGACAGTTGAATCTATTTCGAGTAATAATTCAATACACCGTGAACCGCAATGTGGACCAAGCAGTCCATTGAGAGCTTCTGGCCAGTTAATGTCCTCGGAGTACGATAACGTAGATCTGAACACACTTCACAAAACAGGATTCGTTTGCCGTACCTCTAATAAACGACCTTCTGGGAGGAATGCAAGTATAAACACGAATACTTTTGTAAGAAGCAGTAAAGATGACAATCACAATAAACCTCGTTTTCGGCGAAAGAAAGGTCCAAACGTAGAAGATTCTGGTTACTTGAGTAGTGATTCGACGAGTTCTAGGCAAATTCAGAGAAAAGTTGTGATCGCTAAAATTATGAGCTGTAGTGAAAGTGATGATACTGAAAATGAAGCTAGGAGTGAATCTGGTGCTGAAAGTATTGAGACTCATTCTGTTTATTTCGGAAGTTTTAGGAAACACCAAATGAGTGTTGATAGCCAAAGCGGTGTTAGCAATAAAAGTGTGAGAGACAGTACTTGTAGTAGTAGGAACTCAAAACATTCTAAAGACTGCTTATAGTTATGTATCGTGAATAAATTTTGTGCAATAGTGCTTATGAACAGTGTGCAATAGCGTGTGCAATATGCAATAAATAGTGTTAATGATAGTACATAAAAATAATGTATTAAATAATTTTTTAGCTTTTAATATTTTGAAGATTTTATTTCTTTTTTGTGACTTAGATAAATGCATTATAGAGGTTTCATGGAAACCGTTTAACGTGTACTCATATAAAACGCAATAAGCTTGTTTGAACAGAAATAGATAATTAAAAACCTAATTTTTAAGTTAGTAACTTTTGAACCTCTGCAATAATAATGTAATTTTATAGTAAAGGCCGGTTGTGCAATGCAATAATAGTTTAATTAGAATTAATCGTTAAACGAATCTATTTTTAATTATACATTACTATTTATTTCAGAATGCTTTCAAAGAAAGACTTCTATTGTAGCTAATTAAATTAACTTAATTTTTGTAATTATTATCTTGAGAGGAGACAAGACTATGAGGTCCTATTTATAAGTACTAGCATAATCATTATTAACAATAATTTCTGTCAAAATAATTTGTTCTGTATGAAATCTTTAAACCTAATCCACTATAGTAACAGGTATGGCAGATGATTGGCAATATTATATTATGTAAAAAAATATTCCTTCTTTTTCAGAGAATCCTAAAAACTTTGAACATTTGAATGAAAAATTATTTCGCAATTGATTTCTGTAAACGTAGTTTTATTCTACAGAATGTTTATTTTAAAATGTCCTTATTTAGTTCCTGAAAAATTTCAGGAGTATTTTCTAGTTCTAAACACTTTATCGCCCATAATAAGACCCAGGTGCTAGTTTAAATTAAAATAATTTATTTTAGATTAATACTTTTTTCTATGATTTTGTAAATAAATGTTGACGAGTCAGGCAGCAAAATTTGGCTTCCTAGTACCTGACACGCAATCGTGCTCCGGGGAGGCTAAATAATTAAATTATTGAAATCCTCTCTGTTTGTAGAGCGCATTGGTTACGGTAATGGCTTATGACTTTCGTTGGGAACAAGCAATCTTAATGATATTGGATAAAAAAAAGTAAAATTTTGTCAAAACTTTTTACGCAATAATTTCTTTAGTTGCTTCTATGCCTTTATGAACTTCATGGCGCACGTCGCACCTTGGTAAGGCTAAATGTCAGCATGGTCAGTAACCAACCAACCAACTTTTTTCGGTAAAAAAGTTTCGAATGTTGTCTTCATCAGAATCAGAATTACAATAAACTATGACTAAAAATCGCTCTAAAAGTACTCGAAATAGATTCACCAGTCAATTTTAAGTTTGGTTGTTATACCACGGCAATGCAATGGTGTTTTATTCCAAGTAGTTAACATTCAAGCTACTAAATTATAACAATAAATCACCGCGTTTGGGCCAAGTATTTTTTATAAATAGACAAGCTCTACTATTTAGGATTTAGGACGCTATTTGGATCAAATATGTAATTGCTCAATAATGAATAATAAATAAATAAATAAATAAATATAATAAAATTATGCAATACACGATTGAACGCCTCTGTATCACAGATTGTTTGTTGCCAACAGTCAGGGATCTTCTTTCGGTTACGGGATCATTATACTTAGTACATAAAGTAGTTTCCTAAAGAAATAGAATAGCTGACGATGGTGCTAAGAAATCATGAATGGATAACCGGGTATCTATTTATATTTTGGTTAATTAATTAACCTTAAAATTAATGTTATTTCATAGATATAAGAGTTACAAGAAAATGCTCAATTGACATAATAATTATTACATACTATTTTTTAAATTATTGTTTGTTGTAAATGTTTCTGTACAATATTCTTTTTATAGCCAGTATAAAGCATGGCATTATTAATATTTTTGTTAATTTAATGATCGTCTAGGATTAATTTAATTTTACTTAACATTATTTACATTATAAATGTAATGTGAAACTGTGTCTATTTTTAACTGTTTTTGTAAGTAAACTAGCTGAATAAATGTTGTATAATATTCACATAACTTTATAATTTTGGTTCTGTAATAAAACTTAAAATACGAAATCAAGAATTTTATTTTATCCATATATCTAATGTATTATTAAATTCTATATTTTATCACAGTCTTCATGCACACTTATTCCTAATTATTACAGTTTTAAACATAAAATTATTAACCGATAAAGGTGGGAATTGATAAAAGCTTCATAAACTAATCATATTTCAACCACTGACATATAAAAAAGATTTGAGTGCATACTGTAAAACATCTCAATATATACGACTCTTGCTTACAACTTATTTACAAAACAGTCTTAGAACTGTTCATTCTTCATTTCCTATATCACAATTTTCTAAATTCCTTTTTTATATGTCCATGATTCTAACATAAAATATCATCTTAGGGGCAGATTGCAATAACAATAAAAGCTATAAAAGTCAATCAGTTACCATCTCTGATCCAGCCTTCAGACTGGATAGTGTTGTCTCCTCTGTGACCTTCATACTTTTGGCACCAGTCAGAGCTAAATCTAATAATTTCTTTCGGAACTCCAAGTACGCTGCTTGACCACCAGCGAATAAATCTATTTCTGTGCCTATCTTATTTTTGACTTCTACATCTTTGCTCTCATTCATTTTTGCCATACAGTAATCAAAATATTCTATCACCAAATTGGTTTGTTTAACTATTGCCGAAGCATACTGATTGTAGTCTAAATTGGGGACTGGTATTGTGGTTTCTTCATTGAATCTCCAGTTTTTATCGAGCTTAGAAGTTACTCGTAATCTAGGTGTAGTAACAATCATTTTGGCATTCACCGTCCCGCAAAGGGAACCCATTATTTGTACTATCTGGTCTGATTTTCTGGAAATATAACAATGGAAACATTATTAAGCAAAGTAATATTAATGTAAAATAAAATTCCTTTGGAGATAAAAAGGCATCATCAACACTGAATTATGTCTATCAAGTCAAAAAGACAACAAATTCAAAACAAAATAATGAAATAACTAACCTTACGAAAGCAGTTACAGAAAATATGTCACCGTGTATTTCTTCTTCTTTAAAAACGAGAATACAACCAATTGGGAGGTAAAGTGGTGGTTCCTTGTAAATTATTGTATTTTTGTCACACTGAACCGGGACCATTGACATATGGGTGGCAAAAGAGTCCGGGAACACTAAAGGAGGATCATCGGCTTCTCTGAGGTATCGGCAGACTAATTTGGTCTTATGGGCAACAGCTATCAGAGGGAGCATCACCATTTCATCTGTAAATTAGGACATTTATAATTAATAAAAAATGTAATGTTCCTTGTGACATGATATCTCAAACTTTATAACATTAATAAATAATGCTAACAACATCCCTTACAGATACCTAATACTTTTAGTACAAGACTTTTTTAAATGTCTGTACAACTCATAGATTAAACAATGCATAGAATATTAACTTTCTGTTTTAACAGAAGAAACTTCTTACCTATCACATCAGTTCCTAAAATATCCTTATACGAAAACAGTTCTTGAATCCGGACAACTTCGTCGAATGGCACCATGTATTCTTTACCCAACCGTCTATATGCAATTACACCATGAAACTGCACTGTGTTGTGCATGTTTTTAACAACTTCAAATATATCAATAACACCAACTACAGCAACATCATGATCATTCAAAAGTGTGTTAGTTTTTCTCTCTTGCCAGAAAGGGGATGTATTAATTCTGTCGTACAGTTTTGTTGTGTATACTGTTGTTGGTTTGAGTGTACCATGTACCAGAATGTGGACATCTTCAATGGGCCTAAAATAAAGAATATTACAGTTATTTACACTTTATAGTAATATCAAATCAACAAACACAGATTTTTAACAAAGATATTTCTAAACATAATTTTTATAAAAATAAATTACACAAAATTATAACTGCAGATTTTAGATTTTAGGATAACTAAATACTTACACTTGATCATTGCAGTAAGATACTATGAGTACAACTATTATTTGATTGTCACAAGGAGCTACATATGGTGTATGGGATTTAAGTATCAGGACATCATCCATCTGAAACAATAAAATGATTTACCTATAGTAAAATGTTCTGAAAAAATTTTTCTTTAAATACAAAAAGTACTCTAAAAAATATTAAATTGTTTACCTTATTAGTATTTGTATTGAAAACAGCCTCATTGCTGGGATAAATCTTTTGGTACGCTGAAAGAGCTGACACTTGCCGGAGACTTAAAAACTCTTTGAGGGTACTTTCGTTGCATTTAACACTGAACTTTGTTTGAGTCAATTTTCTCTTGAGCTCGTTTAAAATTGGAATGGAGTCGTCAGCGTTTATACCATTCAGGAGTAAGGCCTTATCACCTAAGTTTTCAAAATTGTCATCGAATACCATCGGGACAGCGTCATCTTTACAAATTACTTTCAAACAAGCTCGGCCCCTACAAACATTGTCATCTAGGCTGTATGTGGCTACGTTTAGTATGCGGCGGTGAATGGAAAGTCTTTCTTTCCTAGATACTAGCGTCAACTCGTCTCCTGCCACCAAAAAGTAAAACATCTCACAGTTACTGTTCCTGAGAATTTTTATCGCAGTTGGCTGGTAGCGGCCGTGTACGAGCAAAGCGTTGGCTAATTCTCGTTTGTAGTACTCCCTTATTTCTCCATCTTTCGTGACAATGGTCACATCGATGTGTTTCTGATCCCGCGGGTGGTTGTCGTAGAAAACGAAGCACGCAATGCTGTTGAGCATAGGCGTCGGCACTAACTTTATTACCTCCTGCTTCACGACTTCTGGTAAGGGTATCATTTTGTGAACTTGGAGTTAACCTCTCACACAGCGAATATTAAGCTTCGTAAAAATAAATACCACGATGATACTACAACCAAAAGTCCAAAACATAACCGATGAAAACGTCTTTGTTGTTTTGCGTGGGTGCGTTGCTTTTAAATTGACAGTGACAGATGACAGTTATTCATCCTAGTGGTGGTGTAGGCAGGCACGTAATATCGAATCGATAATTATGATTTTAATTTTTTCGTTAGTGTCCTTATCTTTGTTTACTGATAAATATTAAATTATTACTGCCAAATAAATCAATTACATTTTATGATAAGTCAACATACTAATTGTACCTGCACCAGTACATACGGTGAGTAAGTATACGATAAGATGGTGATGTAAGTAGGTAATTATTTAAATTATACACCACTACATTTTTATCACCGAAAAAAAAAATTCTGGGTAATGAGTTATTGATACTGATCCTATTTATGCAAAAAAAAATGTTAAATAAAGCTACTCAAAATTTCAACCCTAAAATTGGTAATATTTGGATACACGCGTCGCTAGCAATATTTACGCTCAACGCGGCAACGCAAGGCCGCCCGTTACTATGGAGAGAGATGCGACGTTGCCGGCCCGACGCTTCCTAAAGGCGGCGGTGTACGTTTGTTGTGCGGCGGCCATTATCACCCGCGGCCCCGCGCCGCCGTCTCGCTCGCTCGGCCGCCAGCCGCGGTCAGTTGCGCGCGCGCGAGCTCTTGATCGGTCGTGAACTGTCTTGTTAACATTGTATCAATCAAGTCAATAGTGTCGTGCAATTATTACGTTGTCTTACCAATTCACCTCACGTGAATACGTGTTAATGATTCTTGGCCGGAGAAATTGTGTAGTGCGGTTTTGCGACTGTACCGGGACAGCCACACTTCAGCACGATGCAGGGTGCTTATCAAAGCATTGAATTTTGCCGCTCCTAAGGCCGATCCTAAGCCCGGGTAAGTATGAAGGGAAAGTTGAATTATTTTATTATTTTACCTAAGCGCCTACTAAAACCACCATCTAAAACTGTTCGCACCACTCAGCTGTTATGGCGGATCTTAAATTCACGAACTACGAACGACGCGCGATCTCAATTGGAGTTACACAGTAGGTATTATTATTAACTAGTGTTAAAAACTCACAGAAATACAACGTGACGTATTACGTAATTACTAAATTACTGTTTTCGTCCTTTGCCCTGCGTTTAATTACAATTCTAATTACCTACTTGAAATGTTGCAATAAAAATAGCCTAAGATAGGTAGCTAAGTAATACATTATTATTATTCTGTGATGATAACACTGAAAGCCGCTGTTTTGGCAGATCTTTGAATTACAAATTTCTTTTAAAGTAGAGTAGTAGTCGTAGTAGCCTCGTAACGACACATTGGTGTGTATTCGTAACGTATTCACAGTAGGTAGGTATTTCATTGTATTATTAACTTACAATTAGTGTTAACAGTCAGAATACCACGTAAAGAAGTACGTAAGTGTAATGAAACACTTTATTAGAACTCAAAATTACTTGAAATGTTGCATTAAAATGGTTTAAGTTAGTAATAATAACACTGGAAGCGTGGTCAAGGC